ATTCAAAAATCCGGATTTGAAATTTTAAACCCGGTTTTTGGCCCGGTTTAGGGTTCAAAACTGCCGTTTTTGATAGTTTTCGAATTCAATTTCGAATTGGTCATATTGATTTGGAAAAGGTACACAGATTCATAACATTTTCGATTCTCTATTCAAAAACACTTAATTTTATCCGATTGAAATTTCGATTGTACCATTGAAATACTTCAATCTGAAAGTATTACACGACTTTCAGTGGAATCCAAGGAATCGAAAACCAAAATTTCTAACATAAAATATTATGTATTGGACGTAGCAATTCGAGCATATATGTCTGTTTCCTAAGGAATCGAATTGAAGAAACCAAGGTTGAGGTGAAAATGAACACAACAAAAGTCAACAAACCAATGGAATAATACAAATTATTTTTTTTTAAAAACAAGATAATATTAAGAGCATTTTAAGAGTTTTGTTATAATTTTTTAAATAAAATATTAAAAATCAAAATCTTAAATACAACTACTATTGAAAATATTACTAGAATGATACTCGTGTAATACAGCGAGATACATCTCGATTTTAATGTTTAGTTTTATATTTTTTTTTGTCTCAGTCGATGTTATAATATAGTTTTATGTGGTTTTGAGAAAACGATAATGTTTTATTTTTAAATAAAATATAAATATGAAGATGTCATAAAATTTTGAAAAATATATATTGATATTAGTACTAAACTAACAATTTAAAATTTCTTCTTTTTTGTATAATTTCTTTAATTCATTTTTTTATTTAATAATATAATTTTTTATAAAAATAATAATTATGNATTTCTTTAATTCATTTTTTTATTTAATAATATAATTTTTTATAAAAATAATAATTATGTATTTTGTTAGAACTTTATGATTATTCTGATCATATTTTAGATTTTTTATATTTAAAATGAAATGTTTATTCTCTATTTGATTATGTTTATCTGTAGTTAGTTACACGAATTCAACATGGAGCTTTAATCAATTGTATTTACGCAAAATTTATATGTAATCTTAAATTTTAAGTAATATGCATCGATAAACAGTACTTAATACATAAAAAATGGTCTTTATATTTTTTTTATCAAATATTTATAATATAATATTAATATATTGGTCAAAAATGAAATTCGATATACAAATTAATTAAAACGTTATATGTGACACCTTTCCTAATTTTTATTTATTATTGTTGAGCATTTGCAGGCCACCCACATGGTGAATATGGGTGTACTTGGTATCTTACCAAGTTTTATTTTTTAATACTATGCATCAATCAATTATAATTGGTATATAAAATTTAATATTATATATTAATTAATTGTATTTGGTATCAATTTAATTAATATCATTTTTTTTTTTCGGTTGGTATCAATTTTATACCAACTTCAAGTTACATATGTCAAAACTTGAATTTCGCTCAATTTTTTAGTGATATTTCAAATTTTCAAGTAACAAACATTTAATGTTTAAGGGGTTTTAATTACAAAGAATAAGACTTGCAAACATTCAGATGTTCAAACATAATAAATAAAGTTACAATATTTAATATTTAATACATAAACTATACAATAACTAATAAATAATGAAATAAGTCAGAACCATGGTACTACCGTGGAACGCAACCAACCAGGTTTACATACTTGGTGCGGTACTACAAACTGACTGTAATTGGTACCAATTAAGTTGATATTCATTTAATTGGTACGATTGCTACACATGTTAATTGGTTTGGTTTGATACAAAATCACCACCCCTTTTCACGAGTTTATTTATGTTTTTTCTTGAATTAAATCGACTCTCATTATAATTCTACTCGAAAAAAATAAATACAATATAGGGCTTTCTCTGGTTTTCATAGTATAATGCTCGGTTTACTTTTGGATAGGATCGGCGGGATTAACTTAACCACATTTTATATGTGTCGGAAAAGTTATCAACCTTTTCTAGTTTACAAAATAAAATATCGAGAAACATGATTATTAGTTTTCGTAGTGTAAAAAATACTACAACAAAATTGGGTTTATATGACAGTCTATAATGTGTAAATGCTCTAATAGGATAATTTATAGGACTTAAGTTTATAGGATCACACTATAAAACGTCATAACTAATTAAAAGTGTTACAATAGGTTTATAAAACTCTTTCAGACGTTTCAACAAGTTTTTTTAAACGTTTTTTTGTAAGGTGTCGTGTTAACTATTTTTATACGAGATTTTTGAGAAGTGTCTTATAAACTCATTTTTTGTAGGATATTTTTTCAAATGTATCGTATAAAATAACAAATGTGACACTTTATAAAAACGTTCTAAATTTTTATTAAGACGTCTAAAAATGTCCTATAAACTAATTGTAATAATTTTAGATAAGACACTTTCCGTTTGGTCATATAAACTTAAATGCTATAAAATATCAAATTAATACGTTTAGACATTTTAGAAGTCATATAAACCTAATGTTGTAGTGAAAGATGGAAAGCTTAATTTTATAATGCGTACCTTTTTCTCTTGTAATGGTTCGTATCTTACTTTGGATTTTTGAATCCGTTGGTCGGATTCATTCTCCAACTGGTAACCATTCATCTAGACGGTATGTACATGTGGATTAAAATTGTTTTATGGGTTTTATGCTCATGTGTATACTGAACAAATCGTTACAAATTACTTGCATGTACATATACAACTAAGGGTGTTCAGAAAAAACTGTTGGACCGTTCAAACAGGTCGAACCAAGTCAAACCGGATCATTTTTGACGGTTTGCGCAGTTTGGCAATCTAGTCTACTCTGAAAAATAATCAAACCTTTCGGTCTGATCTGGTTTGCAGTTTGAATGTTTCTTAAAGCGGTCTAGACTGAATCAACCACGGTTTCAAATCCCTTCTTACATGTCTCATGTTAATTCATATTTCCACACAATATTATATATATATATATATATATATATATATATCTTGTCAATAATTAATTATTATGTAACAAATGTTTGTTTGATAAGATTATGTAGATATTTTTCTGGTTTGCTATTTATCATATCTCATTCAAGTAAGATTTAGGGTTGTTTTGTTGGTTTTTTTATTAAGTTATGTATGGATAAATTACATTTATGTATTGATCTGTCTATATATATTGAGAAATTTTTTATTTATGATGGTTTTTTCATAAATGAAATGAGCGTTTTTCTAATTAAAAGGATATATTCAGAAAAAACTTGGTTTTCTGTATAAAACTTCTAACTAGAAACTTACTAATTAATAACTTTATGTATTATTAAACCACTATCAAACAATCATATGTATAATTGAATGAATAACTATACAAGTCTCATTAAACTCATCATGCTATTAACAAACATTCACTTAGCGGCCGTTTACCAAACGTTTATCCGGATAAGTACTTACCAAGTCACGTTATCTCACCGGATGAATATGGTAAGGACCAAGAATCTTACCCGGCAAGAATGAAACAAATATCAAGAGTCTTATCCAGTAAGTGAGGGCGACGATTCTTATCAAACATTTACCGGGTAAATTGTTGCATATGATGTCGTTTTAGTGGACTAAAATCTACCGGTAAGTAAATAATAGAGTTAAATTTTTACCGGTAAACACTTACCGAGTAAGTATTTAATAAACGACACATTGCTTTCTTTTTCTTGGATCAAATATGCCCAAACATGAAACTATTTCCAACTCACTTACAACATTAATATTTATTTTTTAATTAATATTTAATCTGATTTTTGTATAAATAGAATTACATATAACAACATTCATTTTCATTATACGATATATATGGTAGACGCCGGAGTTGTCCCAGGTGGAATTATTACAGTGAGCTGGACTTGTGAAGCTGAGTTGTCCACCAGCCACCATGTGCWTGCAGATGATTGATCACCCATCTAATGTCATAATCAATGTCCAATCTTTAATGCATGATGTACAACAATCAATAACATTACTGTTTTTAAATCAAAATTTCAAGCGATAGTTATATGCATTCCCTTTTATGTTAAAATAAAATTAAATAAATATATTTAGACCGTAAAAAATAAAGGGTTGTTTGGCGGCTGCTGAATGGTTTGGTGTAGAATGGTTAATAGGGTCAGAATGGTTAAGTGCTGAATGAAATAATGTTGTTTCGTAACTGTTCTCTGAATGACAATAAATTATCATTTTAACCCTCTGTATGATTTAGTAGTGAATGAAATAGAGTTGTTTGAAATATATCTGAATAAAACAATTATTTTGCAAATATAACTACGTATTTCATATTAATCCAAACAAACGTAACATTATTAGTTCACAACCAAGTTAGGCATATACAGCAAAATCATGATGCCCCCAACACTTTCTCATTAATGAAAAAGGCATCCTACATACATAAACAGAAGACAAGAACWACTATGAAAAGCATATTACTGTTGGTTTCCTTTTTTTTTATCAGCAGGATAACTTGAAGTGATGTGGAAAAGGAAGGTATAGGAAGCAGATGTAGGGAAGCAAGGAAATACCTGAAGCGATGTGGAAAAGGATGGAGGGAAGCAGTAGGGGCGGCGACCAGAGGAGCTGTTGGAAGACGGCGATCGGAAGAGCTGTTGGAAGACAACGACCGGAAGAGCGACGATAGGGGGGGGGGGAAGACGGCGAATGGAAGAGCGACTATCGTGGGAGGGGGATGCGATGTGAAGAACGGCTTGTGTGAGGGCAGAGTTGGAAAAAATAAACTCTAAATGGTTTAGTGAAGCCCTAGACACAAAATGGTTAAGAGGTTAATGTAACCATTAAGAGGCTTATTTTTTTTGCCAAACAGCTCTTACCTCTTACCGGTTAAGAGGTTGGCTCTTAATGTCATCATTAAGAACCAAACAAACTGCTCCTAAGTCTTGATATTGATGTGTATAAAGAGAAAATTAGTAGGTAAAAGTGCATTTAACAATATATAGGGGTGGATTTAGCCCAGGTCAAAATAAATTACCTAAAATTCCGCATATTATTATATCGACGTAATAAGAAGTGTATATACATAACAAAATCTGTTTTTGTGGTTCAAGTGCATATATTCCTTCCTCACAAGATAACAATATCGAGTATCCAATCGATTGCATCTGTATTATTCGTGTGAGATAGAATGCACACACACATATATATACACACACATGAACCATCTATAGATGTTATCGTACATTCTCCCTAGCTAATTGCTATTGGTCGAGACTGAATCTTGGAGAAAAACCGAGAAGGTACTGCTATCACAAGATTCAAACTCAAGATCCTCAAAACCCCAAAACTCGTCATGTTCTTCTAATTTTTCGTCAGGCATTTTCCATCTGTTTTTATCGATTTCTTCTTCAAACATCACCTCGAGTACCTATAAAAAATTCAAAATTCTTATAATCATAGATTTTTTAAAACTAATTATTTAGAAAAATATTATACAATAATGTAATTAATTAATAATTCCCAAATAAAACAAAAAGAAGTGGACAGTGCATAGTCCTGAAAGTTATAAAAGTAGTTGATTAATGAAGCAAAAACAAAATCCCTACGTTACCACAATTAGGTGATCTTTCATTATCGATAATATTTATAACAATAAAGTCATCCGAAGTCATCGTATTTGAATCTCCGTGGCCATAAGGGGGTTTTTTTTATTCCTCATTGGATTCGAACATAAGACCTTCAGGCACTTTTGACTTTTGGAGCTCAAGCTTAAACCAATCGGACACCACTCTTATGGTTAAAACTATGTACTTATGGTTGTTGATTAATCAATCACGTAAATATTATTACATAGTTGATAAATGAATATTTTCGTTCTTTTGACATAAAACTACATATATAATCTATCGTTATGTCATTCATAATTCATTAGACAATGTCAATTATAAGATTTAATTAATTAAGCTCATAATATTCAATGTTTCACAAAATCTTAACGAGTTATATATATAGATATATATACTTGGGATCATGTGAGACCAAAGGTTTCTCGTGAGACCCCTAAGACCAATTCTCAACTCTTGGATTAGATCTACAATATGAACATTCATTATCACAAAATTGCCACGAGACTTCTCAATAATCACAAGATTGTCACCGTGTAACTTTAGACCATTAAATCATTAGCTTATAAAGTTGATCAATGAACATAAATTGGTCTTACTGGTCTCACGAAAAACCATTGGTTTCACGTGAACTCAACCTTATATATAGAGAGAGAAACTATTTGCATAAAAAATATGGTCAATTTTAATCAAATTAATAATATACACTAACTATTTTTTGGATTGATGATTGTGTAGGTCACATGGATGTCGAATACAAGTGATAATTAGGAGGTTGGTAAAATGGAACATTCAAATAAAAATAAATGGATTTTTTTTCAAAAATACATGTAAAAACAAACTAAATTCCGTCTTTTATTGATGAGTAGAAGACAAATGCTAAAAGACATGATACTGAAAACATATTTGCGTTCACGCAAGCACACCAGGGTTTGATCGAAAAGATGTTGACCGAAAAGATGTAGAATTTTATAAGAAACATGTAAATATTATTTTAATATAATGTCAGTTTTTTTGGAAAACCTATATTTGGAAAAATTGGTCTTCGAAATACAGGATTTTGAACCTCTCATAAATGTCGGTAGGGTCTTTTGTCCTTGAGGCCACAAACGAGCATTTTATAAGAATTACAAAACCCGTGGAGAGTCCCTATCCAGTTCCACGGGTCATGATTAATTGATTCTTACATAATTCTATTTATAATCAAAGTATATACATATACATACATATAATGACCATCTTTTAAGAACCTATGAAATTTTGATAACCTTGAGAATTAATGCATCATGTGTTATTTTATATGAATTTTTCATCTCAGACTAAGATTTAGAATATTGATTCACATATTTATTTTGCAGTGTGTTTATTTGACAATATGAAGCTTTTAGCTTGTTTGTAAAACAAAAGTTACAGGTAAACCGCATACACATAAAGCAAACACATATATGTTATTCAATACATTAAATGTTAGCCATAGATGAAAAAATATCATGTGAAACAAAATCTTAAGATAAAAATTCTCACGTTTACATAATTTATGGAGTTCTTAAATAAATAAGCTTATATATATATAGTCAAGTTCAACAAAAAGATGATCAATTTGTCAAAAGTCGAGAAGTTTCAATATTTTATATGATTACACGTATGACAAGCACACTTAATTATATATGATTTGACACATGTTGCATTGATAACACATAGCTTGATCACCAAGTCACTTGCACCTGTGTCCAATCGTATATGATTGAACGTACATATCCGTGTAATCATATATGATATATATATATATATATATATGATTGGGTTCACGTGAGACCAAAGGTTTTTCGTGAAACCCGTAAGACCAATTTATGTTTATTGATCAATTTTATAAGCTAATGATCTAATGGTCTAAAGTTGCAAGGTGGTAATTTTGTAATTATTGAGAAGTCTCGTGGCGTTTATGAATGTTCAGATCTGACGATTGTAAATTTAATCCAAAAGTTGAGAATTGGTCTTACGGGTCTCACGAAAAACCTTTGGTCTCACATGATCCCAAGTATATATATATAATATGTGTAGGAAAAGACAAGCAAAATATTATGGTATGTTGTTAATTGGAATGATGAAGGGACAAGAAAATATATTTTAGGGTCATTATCCACTTATTTTAATCTAGGCTAAGTTACATTCAATTCATCTATGAATATAATTAAAGAAAAATTCAAATAACTGCCAAAATTCTACAACTTTCATAAATAAATATATAAATAAAAAATATAAATAATTAAATTTTTTTTTACTTGCGCATGGTCCCCTAGGCATGGTTTCAAGCATCGAGAATGAGCAATACTGAAAGTGACTACATTATATATATACAATACATACATCTATTCACCACTTGATATAAATACCATTTATTTTTTAATAGTTTTACTAGAATTTCAAAATGGTTATTTTATCTTATTATATATATCGGTGATTATTTAAATCTTGTATTATAATGTACATTAAAACATGTTTTATGGTATGTACGAAACTGGAATTGGTTCGAAAAGAATACATACCTCGCTCATTGTAGGTCGCCATGTGGAGGATGCTCGAATACAGAGAGAAGCTGCAAAGGCGAGCCTACTGAGTTGTGAAAAATCGTAGGCCCCTTCAAGCCTCGGGTCCACGATTTTTTCGACCTCTCCTTGGTTTAGTATCGGTTTCGCCTGTACAATTATAAAGTTTGAATGAAATAAACGTATATATGCATGTTTACGTTTGATTTTAGTTTTAAAAAGTATGTCTTTGATTAAATTATTTGTATACTTACCCAACCGTGCAAGCTTTGATGTGACCCGTCGACGGATTTCTTGCCGGATAAAATTTCAAGTAAAAAAACCCCGAAAGCGAAAACATCTGTTTTCTCGTCCACGACACCGTGCATAAAATACTCGGGTGCCAAATGTCTGTGAATATATGTCGACAAAGACAATTATTAAATGTATCTACAAAATCAAATAAAACGGAGAAAAAAAAAGCAAACAAGTGAAATTACCCAAATGTCCCTTCGATTGGGGCAATCGAATGATGTGTCCATTGTGAAGGAAGCCATTTGGCGAGCCCAAAATCCGATATCTATGACGAAAGAAATCGTTATAAGATTAACCTTGTGAAATTTAAGGAAATAATTCATTTAATTACAACGCTTGTTTTGTGAAAATTAATGAAGACGTTGCATGTGTATACATGTCATTTCTTTTCTTTTATCTGTCTGTCTATCTTTTATGAGCGAAAAAGCAAATTATGCATACCTGAGGCTCGAAATCTTTGGTGACCAAAACATTGGATGCTTTAATGTCGCGATGGATTATTCTTCTTGGACATACTTTGTGCAAGTAATGAAGCCCTCGAGCGGTCCCGATTGCAATCTTGTACCTCGTGTTCCAGTCCATTATCGATAAATTCTCGTCTGCCCAAAAACAAATAAGACAAAAATATATTTTATTACAGTTTTTCAACAATGATTATTTAAAATATACATGAAATAATTATACCATACAACAACACGTTGAGTGATCAAGAACATCTCCAACAACTTCTTCAAAATAGAGAAAACGAAGATTTTGAGTCAATATTTTGTTCTAATAGCTTTCTCAAAATATCTTTAAAATGGAAAAAGTAGAAAAGAAAAGAGTTTTTTCTCCAAACATCAAGAACACCCCAAAAAATGATCAGTTTTGAAAATAAATATTTAAGGAAAAATAATAATATTTTAATAGATAAATGAAAATTGTTAGATTCTATAAAATAAAGAATCTATTGGAGATGAATATAAATTTTAATTTAATATTTAAAAAAAATTGAAAATTTTGTTAAAATTCCTCTAAAACTCAAAATCTTCCAAACAGAAATGTAATCTTGTTTCCAATGACAAGTAAATAGTGATTAGTCATCATACAAGCAAACTTTCATTTATAATATAATTGATTGACAGTGAATGTTTATCGTTTAATATTTATATGGTAACCATTTATCGTTGAAATTTTATATAATAATGATTCATTGATATATTTGTTTAAGTCTTGTTTGTTTATTTTTTAATAGTTTTATTAAAAGATAATTTTTGAATCATTAAGAGATGAATCTTGTTTGGCAAAAAAAAAAAAAAATTTTGCTCTCTTAATGGTTCCAAAACCTTTGAATGATTTTGTATATTGGGTTTTTCTTAACCATTCAGTACCCTAATTTCATTCCGAATAATCACCAATATATGAGTCTCTTAATTGTTCTGACCATTTAATTATTTCGTAACAAACCAGTCAACAACTACCAAAGTGTTTTTTTATTGAGTGGACGGTACTTTTTTAACTCTTATATTTGTAATTTCATTGCAAATCAATAATTGCATTTATTAAAATGAAAAAAAATAATAATAAATAATATAGGAATAAGTAAATCTAACCATCCAAAACCACTTGAAACCACTGATTTTGATATATTTTAATGATTTAAATTTATATTTTAAGAAGTATAATAGTTAATTTGCAATAAAACTACACTTAATTTACGTCACTTTTTTACTTAGTTTTTTTCATGTCGATTTTCAAGAAACAAATCAAGAAAATATTTACCATGAAGAAGAGAAGCCACAGAACCTTTGGAGGAGAATTGAAAGATGAGATAAAGACCATTGTCAATGCAACAACCCAAAAGAGATGAAACATTTGGATGATTTACATGACCAAGTGTTCCTATTTCTGTCAAGAACTCCTTCTCTTTCCTTTCATCACATGATATCTGTGTTAGTCTTTTCACAGCAATTGTCTGTCCATCTTCTAACACCCCTTTGTAAACCTCTGCATACCCTCCTTTACCAACCATGTTTTCTGCAATACCCATGTAGCAAAAACGTTAATACTACCAAAAAAGATTAAACCCACAAAAAAAACTTGAGTTTTTACGAGTACCCATCAAAGAAATTTGGCATTTAACAACATTAATCCATATAAAGATTCCAACTTTGCAACTTTTGTGGCCAATTATTCCCAAATTTACCTGCGGGAATGGTTTAGGTTTCTACATCTATGGCTCTAAAAAGTAAAAACACATGAATTGACTTCACTCATTTGGACCATTGGTCCAAAAGGTGAAGTTAGACGAAGAACAACCGGATGTGTACGGAATTACCTGAGCAGAACCCATTTGTGGCAACATAAATCTCTTCAAAAGAGAAGCATTTCCAAGTGGGTTTCTTGAAAGACTCTGTTTCGCCATTGTTGTATGCTTCTTCTTGTTTCATAAAAATGCATTCTTTTGGCAAATCTTCTAAGCTTTGACGCTTCATGGAGAAGAGCCTCTTGAAGCTGCCTGTTCGAATATACCTCATTGCTTCTTCAACCTCTCTCTAGGGTAAGGATTTAAGGAAACATTTTGCAGAGATTGTTTGAAGTTTTTGATGGGAGAATGAAAGTTTGTTTTAGGGTGGATGGTGGTTTTAAATGCCTTGGGGGAATTGGGGGTAGTGGGGTAGGAGTAGTTGTGTCAAGATGAAGCTGCTCAAAAGCCGGGTCAATGGGTCGAATCTTTGGACCCATGAGGACTGAATTCAGAGCTAGTGTTGGCACATCCAAATCATTGTTGAATCCGGTTATGGACCCATCAATTATTTGCTTCTCATACCCCTTTTTGATTATGATTATATTGTCTCCTTTGTTTGTACTCACTGGATTTATACCAAGTACAAATGTTGTCCAAAACAATCCATTTTCTTCCATTGAAATTTCGTAACGTTTATGGTCGGAGTTTTACGTCGACCTGACAGACGGGGTCTAATTTTGTTATATATGTTGGAATATTTGTTCTCTCTTTTAGTAAATCTTTTTTTTTAAGTATATAATATTTATATACGGCAAATAGAACAAATAAACTCAGACACTCAGGTTTGAACCCTTGACCTCCTAGAAGGCCAATGACTCACATACCGCTAGGCCAAAGGCCCTTTGGTAAATCTTTTAGGGAGTAAAATAAACGAGTCCAACATATCAAACATGCTATAAATGTCACGGTCTGCTATTTTTAGAGACTTGACACTATGTTGCCCCGTATATGTGTTGGGATCGGCTAAACACGGTCTTTTGCTCTTAAATATATGTTGAACATCATTTTATTCCTTCAAAAGTTATTTTAGACGGTAATTTGAAGGGTTTTGTTCAAACACCAATGTTCAAACGAAAGAATACAGCTTTTAGACATGAAAAACTATATTAAAGATGATAAAAATTTGGCAGTTTGTCAACTCAATCTTATTTATAATAATTCTTGTGTAAATATCATATATGAATGAGGTAAGAAGCTACCAAACAAGCAGGTGTCCATATAGTATTTTAAAACATGTATTTTGAATAATAACCCTGTTCAAACCTTATATTATACTAAGAGATTGCTTGTTTACCTCTTAATAGTTTCATTAAGAGATATCATCTGAACCGTTAAGAGATGAATCTTGTTCGACAAAAAAGAAATTGTTTCTTAATGGTTCTAAAACCCTCTAAATGATTTTTGTATTTTGAGTCTCCCTTAACCATTTAACACTCTAATTTCATTTTGAATAATTACAAAACAGTTATATTTCATTTTGTGTTATATTATAAATGACTATTAATCATTCTGTACCAAACTATTCAGTAACTGTCAAACAACCTCTAAATGTGTTTATGAAGGGATAAGATGCAATCTCAATTAAGACGAATAGCATCATCCTAACTCCTAAGTGTAGATCATAAGACTCTTGTACCTCATATAGATTCTATGGAGTAAGTAACCGTTTTAGTTGAAATATACTTTTCAACAATAAATATATGTATTTCAGTGAAAATTCAAAATCATATAATACCATTAGTGTTAAAACAGGCAAACGTGATTTCATTACCATTACATGTATGGGGCTATTGAATACTTATAAGTACATATTTTTGTAACGAGTTTTAAGGATATCTGTTACGACAATATTTAAAACGTTAGTTTTTTATCATGTCGTGTATAATGATCTATATTCATGCATCCATTAGAATGAAATTCATAACTTTATACTTGTAATTTAGCAATAAGATATCATATCAGAAAAAATTGTATTTTTTGTTTGAATAAGAACATAGGTTTACAGTCTGATTTTTGTTCAGTCAGTTTAATGATTTATTTTTTTAGTCATTAAGTAATTTTTGTTTTTTTTCCCTAATTTTTAAACTATTATTAAATATAACTTACTTAAATAAATTACTATATGTGTTAATCATTTTATTTTAGATATATTTGATATGAAAGAATACATAAAAGATTTTATAAAAGTCTCGTGGCAATTTTGTGATTATGAATGTTTAGATTGTAGATTTAATACAAGGGTTGAGAATTGGTCTTACGGGTGAAAAACTCTTGGATCATATAAAGACTTGGGATCATGTGAGACCAAGAGTTTTTCGTGAAACCCGTAAGACCAATTCTCAACCCTTGAATTAGATCTACAATCTCAACATTCATAATCACAAAATTGTCACGAGACTTCTCAATAATCATAAAATTGTCACCGTACAACTTTAGACCATTATATCATTAGCTTATAAAGTTGATCAATGAACATAAATTGGTCTTACAGATCACACGAAAAATCTTGGGTCTCACGTGAACCCAACCCTCTATATATATATATATATATATATATATATATATATATATATAAAATGGGGAATTGGTTTGGTAAAAGGTTGGATGAAATTAGGATTAGGGAGGGTGAGTTGGGTTAGACTACTTTTGACAACCATGTCATGGTGAGGCAGGTTTAGGGGTAGGTTAGAGATTTCCCAATTATTGCTTCTCTTTTAAATATCTCCACTTTTTTTACTAAATATCGCCTAAAATAAGTAACTTTATCTTGGTCCTATTTGCTACCATTTTTGCAAATTTAGTTCATCAAAAAAAATGTTATTCTAATGTAAAATCAATTATTTCATCTCCTTTTATAATGTGTTATAGTTGTTGTAGTTAAGGATAATTTGGTCATTTTATTTAAACAAAAATATTTTTTAACACATTGAGCCATTAAAGACGTGAATATATGAGATACAAACTCTGTGAGATAACATTGATTTTTGGATGACCGATCCAATCCATATTATATTGAGAAGTTGCGGGATATCCTAGATGGAAAATAATATTCTGGTCACAGTCTCTGATTTCATTCTTCTGTTTGGATGGTGCTAAGTTAAGGCATGGACTTATTTTAAGTATCGTGGTATTCGTTTGTTATTTTGTAGCATTGTCAAACTTCATATAGTTTGTTTTTGCTATTTATCATTTCATCTGGATCCCATAAATGATACATCTCCGCCAACAATGTTAATTATAAACTAGTATGGGAACCGCGCGTTGCGCGGAGTATGAGTGCTTTGATTAATGATCTGATGATTGTCTATATAAATATATATATTAATTGTTAATAGAATCATCAACAAATCATATTCAAATAATTCGAAAAAGTTAAATAAAATATAGTTAGTGAAATTTTAATATACACACATACATATATTAAGAGAGAGATTTGTTTAGTAATAAAATTGTAAAACTAAATAAAATGAGTAATAATAACGACGGAAATATTAAGGAATCTGACACAAATTTAAGAATAAACAATACTCCACATAAAGATATGTCTCCTTCAAAGGATGATGTACATGTACTATTTTTCATHTTCAACACATACCTTGACTTTAAAAACACAATAGTGAATGGACCGGACCAACCATACGATATGTAAAAAATCACATACCAAACTTAAAGACTTCAAATCTTT